TTGAAATTTTATGGAGGAGGGTCATCTGTTCACCTCTGATACTAATTTCGAGGTTATGTCCATCTCAACTATGTCAAAAACCTAAATTTTTGACATATGACCTTGATTTTTGAGGTTATATTCGTTTTAATCTATGTTTTTATTATTTAGCCTTGATTATTAATGTTATGTTAATCTTTAACCTATGTTTTTGGCATCGTTAGAACAATTCTAAAGACAGCGATGAGTCATTCCACGTCAAGAGGTCGCTGAGTTTGAGGTTAGAATCAGAACTAAAATACTAATATATAGGTACATTGAGTTTCGCGAAGCATTTAAATTCTCGCCTGGAAAAACATCGGCGGCGTTGGCGGCTATATCTTTTTGTAGTATAGGTATATATATATATAATATATATTGCATACCCATATATATCACACATATTTTTAAATTATCAACTACTCATTATCACTTCCATTCGCGTTATAATTTGCCAGACACCCGCGATAATTTATTTCCATATAAATTAGATTTTGTTTAATCTACCGAAATCTCATTTACGTTAAAATTTTTTTTTTTTAAATTCATATTGTGTGAAGGAAACAATTGATCAACATATTAACAGTATAATTGCCCTATTTTTTAATATATACCTATTAATAATAATTTTTATACTTATTTTGAATTATTTTTTGTTTTCCTTTTTTTACGAAAATTTTATGCTAAATTAAAAATACATTTCAAGAAATTTTATGGAAATTTGTGCTATGGGCGTCGCACAATATATATATATATGCTATAGAGAAACAAATTGCATTGAGTCACATGCGAATAATATTCTACATCTCATGCAATTTTAAAAATTCAAAATCTATGCAAAATTCCATACACACGAGAAAAAAAATAAACGAGTTCCAGATTTCCGGGCATTGATTTCAAAATCCCAGGAAGGTAAAAAAATGTAACAAAAAAAATATATATACCCGCGAGTTATTTCAAATCTCAAATGCAATTTCCAGGGTCACGATATATATATATATATATATGTACTTCCGATTACTTACTCACGAAACAAAAAAAAGTATAAAATAAATATTGCACTTACAAACTTTAACCATTAAAATTCAAAAACTTGTAAAAGCTTTTCAGAAGCCGTATGCTTTTAAATCCTTCAATATTTCGACAATTTTTAACTATTTTCAATATTTTGAATATTTTTAAATGTATACACTGTTAAAAATGAAATCTTATTTCACACCACAAAGTGAAAATTTTGAATGTAACATCCCTGAAAGTGTAACTTTTTTACAAAACACTTTTCAAGATGTCATTCTCGTGTGAAGTGTGATTCGAATTTAAGTGTTAGTTTTGTAACACTGTAAAGTTGTAATGTAAAAACTTCGACATTTGTTGCGCATGTTTTAGATTATACAAAATGATTCTGTTTTCTTTCTACAAGATACATATTTTTTTAGACATTACTTAAAAAGTACAAAAAATTGCAAAACAAATTAAAATAATTTTATTTTTATTACTTTAATAATGATAATATTAATTTAATGATAAAGTGAAGTAGAATTCATAAAATTATAAATGAAAAATGCACATAAGTATATCAAATTTAAAAAAATTATATTATTTATAAAACAAATAAAAAATACATGTCTTCATATTATAAAATTTTATAGATTATTTTGTGCAAAAGTTAATAAAATAAATGAAATGAAATCTAACAACACGTAAAAATGAACTGAACATATACTGAATTTATTTGAAATATTACAAAAATACATCTTATACCTCTAATTTTATAAAATTCTGTACTTAGGAATTATGTAATAATCAGTGGCATGATATGCCTGATGCAAATCGTATGCCACAACGTGAGATAAATCTTTTAAACATAGTAACTCTTCTTTGGCAGACATATCACGTGTTACTTTGTACCCTACATAAATTTCGCAATATTCGACATTTTTCCATGGCTTACAAATCGCATACCCTAAATCCGACGCAATAAATAGATCAACAATTTCTACAAAAATTGGAAATTCCGAAGAATTCTCTTTTTTCGCAATGAAAGATCCAATTCGATAATCTATTTGAAAATGCAGTTCTTTAACCCGGTAAACATTTTTAATCGTATCATGAAGAGTAGCACTTGTATCGAGTTTATATTTATAAATAATATCTTCAAATGATACATATTTTCCTGTACTCGCTGTCGCTGTAGGTTCTACTTTTTTATCACAATCAACCCATTTTTCGTACATGAATATTTGATGTTGCTCGGCAAAAGTTTTTATGACATTAATGAAATTATTCGTCCTTTTAATCAATTGTTTAAAATAATTATGTTTTCCTTCAAAACGCATTGTCCATAAAAAAATGATAGGTCCCATTAACAGTAGCACCAAAGGATAGTGAATCAACATATGATGTTTTGGTAGTAAGTGGGTTCCTAGAAATTGTAAAAAGTACGAATGATGCTGTACAATTAATTGTCTCAATTCGGCTATCATACTTGGCGTAACAACGGGTGAAAAAACAATTTGTAGAATTTGAGAAAGGAGCTGGAGAACTTGCCATTTTTGAAATAGACGATTTTTTTTTCTTGAGATTTTTCTATGATATCACTTATTATGAGTGGTAAATACATAAATAAGCAGCGAGCTTGTGCGGCTCGTTGACCAATTGAATACCTCTTATGCAAAGCGACAGGACTAGGTTTATTTTTTATTTGCGCATACCCGTAATTAAAAATTTTTATCCTTTCATTTAATTTTTCTAATGATCTGCAAATTGAAGAAATTCCAAATTCTCTTCTACTTCATCTGCAGATACACATTTTTCTTGCACGATTTGTTCGACAGGTTTTTCGACTGGTTCTTGAGTAACAATATTTGGCGTTTTCTTATTCTTAGATCTGTTGATTGTTTTTAATCGGTTTGAGAAAAATCCCAAACCTGTATCAGGATTAAAAAATGCTTCCTGCAAGGTTGAGAATAATATGTAAATAAAATCATTAATTACAAAAATAGATTATGTGAAATTAAAAGCATGACCAAGATTTTATTATTAAAAGAAAATAAACTTACGTAACCAAGCTTAGAACTTTTGTCTTTTAAACGCGGAAAAAGTTTGATTAATTCACTTGCGTATTTCATTTTTTCGGCTTTGGGAATTTTCTTTCCATGTTCCTGTTTCATAAGGAAAACTACAATATTCATTAATTTTTTTCTGCTTTTCAAATCCAAATCACAATCTTTTCGATTGATTAATTCAATCCCTCCAGAGACGCTTTCAATTTTAGATTGTAAATTCTATAAAATTAATTAAAGGAATAATTAATGCCATTTTACAAATCTAAGTTTTACATAAACACAATCTTCAGTCCTCAATACGGGAACATCTGTCAATTACATTAAAAAAAGATTAAACGTTAACTGGATTTACATTCCATAATAATAAGAATAATAGTTAAATTATTAAAAGTAAATAAAAAATAATGAAAAAAAATAATTTCAACATTTTTTATTAAATAAACAAAATGTGAAAAACGTTTGTTAACTAACCTTGCCACTCTCTTAATTGGGAAATCTGCTGTTTTGATTCAACAAAGATGATTTGCTGATCGAAAAAATGAAATGAGTCTTCTTCAATTAACACTCCTTCTTCATCTTTTAGAACAATTTCTGTTAGATTAAATTTTTTTTGAGCTACAACAAAAGTACACATATATTTTAATTTTCTGTTAACACATTTTTAATTAAATATGTGTGCTTGAAATTTTTGACAAATAAAACGACTTCAATTATAAACAATTTCTTTGAGAATTCTCATATAAAAATAGAATAATTTTCCGATTACAACAAAATTATTATAATTAACATATATCAGCTTGTTTTAATTTTCTTATTTATTTACTTATTTATTATTTAAAATTATTTGCAATTGTTCATTACAATTTTGTTCGCGTTAAAATTGATAAAAATCCTTTTTAGTTTTGAGGTTATGTTAACAGTACCGGTCCCCAATACCGGTTATCGCTATCATTTGGCAAACCTCGTTAAAGAATAAAATATAAATATATATAAAATATGAATAATATAAATAAATATAATATAATATACATTGTTTTTGAAATTCGAAACGAAATAAAAGGTAACATAATATAGCTTACCAGCAGCAAGAAATTCGTGATATGTGGGTGGATTTTTCTCGCACGGAACATTCATCCACACTACTTGATTTGCTTCAAAGCAAACTTTTCTTTTTTCACACACTTCTTCCATACTTTAATTGTTCACTTTTCATTTGCATAATCACGAACAGTTATGTGAGGACACAAGGAAAATTTCACCTTCATGCGCGACGTGACGCGTAAACAAATATGGCCATCAAGCTTTCATCCTTTTTGGTGCGATTGGTGAGACAAAAAATATACTCGCACTCAGAAAGTTGAAAAGTTCGATAAATACCATGCTTTTACACCATTCTGGTGCAAAAATTGCGATTTTTTTAAATTTACACTGGACTCGGTGCAAAATGTGGTTGTTCATGCATTTTTGCACCGAATTATTAACACCGATTGCTTACAACTTTACACTTGGTGTAAAGTTGTAAATGAATTTTAGAAACATTTTTAACAGTGTATATATATATATATATATGTTATGGATTTTAGCAGATTTATATACAGTATATTTCAATATGTGCTTGCTCGACTTTTATTTGATACAAATATATTCTATAAATGTTTATAAAATCTTTATCAATAATAATCTAGTGATGTAAATAAATAAAAATTACTAACTTTTTAAAAAATAATAATTTCCATACATTGAATGGATTGCGATATTTAATATTTATTAACATTGGAAGTGTTTTTAAAAAAAAAATTTGTCTAAAAAAAATTTTAATGCCATTATTCAGAAACAATATATGTGAAAAAAACGCACTTTTTTCCGACTGTCTGTATTCAGGTTAATTTGTAATTGAATATGAAAAAAAAAACTCACCAAGTATTGTAAGAGTGATGTCAGCCTCTAAGGTGGTGGTATCGTTTCTTGCCTGACAAGAATAACGTCCTGCATCCGACGCCCGTACGTTAAGAGTATAAATTGTCTGATTTGCACTCTCAGGGTATAAGATGAAATGGCTTTCACCACCTGGCCAGGGATATGCTCTGTTGTCTTTGAACCTGCATCAAAAAAAAAAATAAATAAATAACAATAAACTTGAGAAATTTCTAAAAATATTATCATAATTTTCACGTAAAAAAATAATATATTCTCTTTAACATAAAAGATATTACACCTAGATAAAAAGATTTTTTTTTAATCTTAAAATTTAAAAAATTTTAATTAAAAAAATGCCGAGAAAGTAACGAAAATTAAAATGTTCAAAATTCTCATAATGTACTAAAGATTTATATATATATGCATGTGAAATGCAAAAAAGGTGGGAAAAAAAATATTACAAGTGCCTGAGACAGCGTCAATCGAGAAAAAGGAGAGACGCCTAGACCATTTTTATCGGATTTATTCAGAAATTTTTCTATCAAATCTGTGACGCATTACCATTATCGACTCTATTTTAGAAAAATATTCTTCCAAGATTTTTCAGAAGGCGTCAGCATCTTGTCAACCCCCGAAGAAAAATCTATTTTCTTCGAGCTAATGGACATTCTGATTCCGTTATAACTCTCCAGACGAACCGAACGCCATAAATTCTCTCAAAGGAGTAAGAAAGAGAGAGAGAGAGAGAGACCTATACTGTACTCACAAGACGTGTGCGACCTTTGCCGAGTGAGTCGATAATCCGCAAAATTCTTCAATGAATTCAATAGCTATATATAATATTTTAAATGTACAAAAGCACGTGAAACATTCATCTTCAAATTTCTCAAGCGAAAATCTCGCGTAAAAATCAAGTAGAGTAATATTTATATATCTTCGTGAATTTAAATGAACGACCGGGAAGAAGAATTCGCCGAAAAATACTATACCTTGTAGGAAATAAAGAGGCGCATCTTTTTTTCCTTTGGATTTTTCTTGTCAAACGAATAGTTTATTTAATAATTAAAAAAAACTGATAAATTTTAATTTTCAAATTTCATTCAATTTTTAAACATAAATCGTCGTATCTTTCACGGAGAAAAATGGGATCGTTAAAGACGAATCGATCGATATATATATATATATATGTGACGCGCTCCGAGGAAAGGTACCTAAGAAGCAAAAAATTGTAGATTATGTTTGTGATTTTTAAAGTAAAAATACACAAAGGGAATCAACTCTCAATATAAATTATTGGTGTTTAAATCTTCATAACATTGAAAATATTCGATAAAAACTGATTTTACTTTACATAATAAAAAAATAAACTTTTCATTAAGATAAAATTACGACAAACATAACCTTAAAATGATTTGCTTCTTAGGTACCTTTCCTCGGAGCGCGTCACATATATATATATAATATATATATATATATATATATATATATATATATATATATATATATATATATAAACTATACATTTGAGGTAAATTTAAAGAATTAATGAAAGTTAAAAAAATCAAAAATTCACATTTTGCTATAAAATTTTGTGATTCTTTAAATTGAAGTTTATATATGAAATAATTGTATTCCTTACGTCAAGACAAATCGATCGATATATACAGGGTGTTCCAAAAGTATGGAAACTTGCAAATATCTCGAAAAGTACGAATTTTTTGTTAAAAATGTTCAAGACAAAAGTTGCTCCAAATAAAAAGATGTACAACTTTAAAACGAAAAAATTGGGCCCGGAGCCCAATGTTGGGCCCTACAATGAAAAAAGTGGTTTTCTTAAATGAGACCACTAATTTTCAGTATCAAATTCGTAATCCCCATGAAATTCTGCGTTCAGACATGTGGTATAAGTGCCCAAAATATTGGGCCCAATCCAAGATATTAGGTCCAAAATTTATCAACAGAGAAATAAATTTTAAAAAATCGCATCTTGGAGGGATTTTGAGATCACAGGATTAAAAATTGGAAGCTAATTTTCAAATTGGACATAGAGCCTAATGTAAGATTCCGCCGCCCAATGTGAGGCCCACAGTAAAAAAAATTAGTTGTCTTAAATAAAACCCATTAATTTTCAGTAACCAGTTCGTAATCCCCATGAATTTCTGGGTTTAGACTTGTAGTAAAAATGACAAAAATATTGGGCCCAATGTCTGGGATTAGGCCCAACATTTTTCGTTAAATAAATAAATTTAAAAAATCGCATCTTTAGGAGATTTTGGGGTCACAGGATTAGAAATTGGAAGCTAATTTTCAAATTGGGCATAGAGCCCAATGTAAGATTCCGCGGCCCAATGTGAGGCCCACATTAAAAAAAATTAGTTGTTTAAATAAAACCCACTAATTTTCAGTATCCATTTCAGAATCGTTATGAAATTCTGGGTTTAAACTTGTAGTACAAAAGCCAAAAAATATTGTGCCCAATGTCTGGGATTGGGCTCAACATTTTTTGACAAATAAATAAATTTATAAAATCGCATCTTTTGGAGTTTTTGGGGTCACAGGATTAGAAATTCAAAGCTATTTTTCAAATTGGGCACAGAGCCCAATGTAATATTCCGCAGCCCAATGTGAGGCCTACAGTAACAAAATTAGTATCCTTCCATTTCGTAATCGTTCTGAAATTCTGGGCTTAGACTTGTGGTACTAATTCCAAAAATATTGGGCCCTCACATTGGGCGGCGGAATCTTACATTGGGCTCTATGCCCAATTTGAAAATTAGCTTCCAATTTTTAATCCTGCGATCTCAAAATCCCTCCGAGATGCGATTTTTTAAAATTTATTTATCTGTTGATAAATTTTGGATCCAATATCTTCGATTGGGCCCAATATTTTGGGCACTTATACCACATGTCTGAACGCAGAATTTCATGGGGATTATATACGAATTTGATACTGAAAATTAGTGGTCTCATTTAAGAAAACCACTTTTTTCATTGTAGGGCCCAACATTGGGCTCCGGGCCCAATTTTTTTGTTTTAAAGATGTACATCTTTTTATTTGGAACAACTTTTGTCTTGAACATTTTTTACAAAAAATTCGTACTTTTCGAGATATTTGCAAGTTTCCATACTTTTGGAACACCCTGTATATAAAGTATACATTCAAGGAATTAATGAAAGTTAAAAAATCAAAAATTCACATTTTGGCAATAAAGTTTTGCTTTCTCTACGAGGAAGCAAATTTTTTTGCTGATCGTAAAGAAGAAGCAAAATGTTTATGTAATGAACATCTGAATTTACAACTTGTTTTACATATTTTGTACAAATACATTTTCTAATCTTGATTTTAGCTGTTGAGTTCCTATTTTAATTTAATTACCTATTTTAGTTTCTTATTTACAATTTATTGTTTATAGTACGTTTGGTTTAAATTTCCACAATTTTTTTTTTATTTATTTTAACACTGAAACACAATTTTAATTTATTATTAATAGTTTGTATTAATTATTTCAAAATAAAATAAAAATAAATTTAACAACAACAATTATTAAAATTGAAAATGTTATTTTGTATAATTTTTTAATTTCAAGAATAAATTAACTTAATATTTTCAATTGTACAAAACAACATAATCAAACGATTGTATATAATATAACAATTGTGACAAAAAAATGTTGTGTCAAAATAATACTAAACCCATATTTAATTCATAAGAAAAATAGAAGGAAATATAGATGGTCTTAATTTTTTTTAAGAGAGTAAAGGAATACATGTCGCGGACCCTTCAAAAGGTTTCCAGTTTGTACACAATAAACAAGTAAACACCATTAGTATTGCAAACATATTCCGTAAACGACAGTAAGTTTGCTCGTTAAATACATCTGTTGCCTTTACATTCAAAACAGGTGCAGGATTTTGTTTACTTTTATGATTAGAACATTTTAATTATATAAACATTATATGCAATCTTTCCAACTATAGGCTCTCATCACTTCAGAAACATTATTTCCTCTATCTCTCCGACAAAAATTAAAAAACAAATACATAAAATAATCAATTACCTATATTTAAAAAGAAGCGCATAGAAAAAAAGTTTTTAAAAATACAATTGATTTCCGCGAATAATTCTATTATAAATTTAATTTACATACAATGTTCAACAACGTTTGTTTCTGAAATTCGATTTCACTCGGCATGTGCATTCTATTCATGACCGGATAGAGCTGAAAAGAGACGAAAGGAAATGAATGAGCGTTTTGCACGCGTCGAATTTTTGGTTCTCGCTAAATTACTCGTTTTATAATTGTAAAGAGAGAGAGAGAGAGAGAGTATACAGTCGCGAATAAAAAAAAAAGTAAAAAAAATGGCAAATAGGAATACGTCCTAATGGATTTTACCGCGTGTTTAAGTCTGATGTGTATTTATCGTCAGTGTGGTATATGTGTATACATATATATATATATATATATATATATATGCACACTGTAATTCCCCGTAACGGAATGAGGATGCCACTATTATTCGCGCCGGGCGAACCATAGAAATTCGCGTCCTGTCCGGAAACTTTATGGGCCATGACTCACGCGAAAATTTGCAGGGATACCAACCAATGAAAATCCGTCACCGACAGTAGGATTTCCGCAATTCTTCGAACATAACGCATCGCGAATATATTCGTCGTTTAATTAAAGACACATACCCAACAAAAAATTTCAGTATTATACCAGAGTTAACTACTGGCGCAGTACTGGTTCAGTATTGGCTGCCGAGGCTGGGCAGTCTGTACTGAACCAGTACTGGTATTTTCATTGTATCAGTACTGGTGCAGTACCATCCTTCCAGTATTGGAAAACCAGTACTGAGCCGATATTGAGCCAGTACTGGCTCAAATAGATTTTCTTTTTGATTAATACTAGTTTACAAAAAGTTATAGAGTGAATCTGATGAATCTTTTTGTTTAAATATTTTGTTTATAAAAATTTTTTCACTTTGATTTTATTTTTGAAAATTAAAAGGTATTTTATTTTGCTTTTTTGTGGGTAAAATTATTTAAACAAAAAGTTTCCTGAGACTAATTCCAAAACATTTTGCAAGTTTTTTTTTATTGTTTTCAGATATGCAATAATCCAAAAAAAATTTTTAAACGATCAAACTAAAAATAAATAACATTTTTTATAAAAAAAAT